CCTTTACATCAGAGCCCATTCCAGCACAATTGGTTCCAGCAGCCTCTCTCCTGTTCCTATCCATGCTGCTTTAAGCAGTGTGACATCCATGGAGGTAGACGACAGGAATCCCTCATGCTCCCTCTCCCTGCATCTTTAATAACCAGACATCATAACCATAACGCTACCACCACATTTCACAGTTGGGCCCCTGTCCCTCTTTGTCAGCTGCTGGGAACAGAGCATCTCCAGTGCCTAGCTAGGGACAGCAGGGCAGGCTAGGAACACAGAGCAGAGGTCAGTGGGTCCAAAATAATTGCCTGAAAGGCTGAGGTGCCTTTTGGCCACCAAAGGCCCCAGCATCAGGAGGAGGGGGGTCTTAGGTCATGATTCACCTCTGCTTTCCTCTCTGCTGTGCATGGCCAAATGCCTTGGAGGTGGTGTGCAAGACCTCCAACAAGATATAACCATGTTGCATTCTTGACACCAGGGTGCATCCAAAAAAGCATCTGTCCCAACTAAAGCATTAACCATTATTGCCTTACAGCTTATTCACATGTTGGTGCAGTGCAGTGACACCTCCCATCCTGTCCTGCCTGGGACTTGGCTGTGACGAGGCCTAAGGATGAGAAGGGCAGAGGAGGTGGCTGCTCTGCAGGAGCACCCAGGCCCCAGGTGCAGCCCATCCTGGCCCCCCAGCGCCTGGAAAACCGCCCCAGCTTCCCCTGCGGAAAGCGGCTCTGGAGACACAGCAGAAAGGCTTTGTCTCCATTTCCTATTGTTTTTCCTGCTTGCTACGGCCAGACTGCTGGTGGTCCTGGGGGTCTCAGCACAGCCCTTGCTCCAAGGGATGCCCCCACTGCCCTCTGGCCCTCCAGCAGAAAGAAGCAGGGCAGATTTGGGGCAGGACAGAGCCTCCTCCCCCTCCTGCCTGCTGTTGGGATGTGGCTGCAAAATAGGGAGCACTGCCAGGAGCCTGGCTGCTGCTGACAACACTGTGGCTTTTCCTGCCATTTCCTTTGTTTGGGATTAAACAGCCAATAAAAAAAAAAAACACACCAAACAACTTTCAGGCCCTGCTGGTGCTCCAGAAATCCCCCTGCATCCAGGCACAACAAAAAGCCACGATGGAGGTATTCCCATGGTGACCGCCCTGCTCCTACTCACCCTGATGTGCCTACTAAACACCACACAGTGGTGAGGAAATAAGTAAATGAAGAAGAGATCTCCAGTGGCAGTAGTCACGTCCTGAGCACGTGAGCCCTTGGGGGAGGAATGTCCCGTGATCAAACCATCCCTCAAGGTGGTGCTTTGCAGACACAGCACGCTGCCTTACCTCAAACCCATGCAGGTTTCCCCCTGGGCACCCAACACCAACTCCATGGCTGGCAGGCCCGCTGCTCTTGTGGTGCCTCAGGCCTCTGAAATTTCCACCCCGCACTGTGAAGGCAGAACCAAGGGCAGAGGCTCATCCTCTCCACTTCTCCCTCAAGGCAGTCTTTGGCTCTGAAGCTGTAATTCCCAAATCCTGATTCTTTAACCACAGCCCCATCTAATGGTACAAACGACAGCTGCTCCGTGTGAAGCGCTGGTGACAGAGCTATGGGACTTGTCTGACTCACCAGAGGGCGATGCAGCCATCCAGAGGGACCTCAACAGGCTGAGCGGACAGGATCGTGGAGTTCAAGGAGGCAAAGCACTGCATCTGCAGAACAAGCCCTGGGGCCACCCAGCTGCAAAGCAGCTCTGCAGGAAAGAGCCTGGGGGTCCTGGTGGACACTGAGTTGAACACAAGTCAGATACGTGCCTTTGCTGCTAAGCCAGCTGATGGTTGGTCAAGCAAGACTTCCCCTCTGTGAATTCATGCTATATCTATGACTTTATTTTCCTTTGCGTGCTAGGAAATGGTTTCATCACATTCCCAGTGATCAAAATGAAGCTGACCTGCCTGTTTGTCCCCAGGTCATCTTTCTTGGCCTTCCTGAAGATGGAACATGTGCTTTCCTCCAGACTTTGGGCACTTCTCCTAGTTGCCACAATGGACTAAAGATCACAGAGTAGCCTTGCAATGACATCTGCAGCTTCCTCAGCACTTGTGGGTGCATCCCATCGGGGCCCATGGGCACATGGAAGTCCAGTTCAGTATTCTTTGATATGATCATCCTCCACTAAGGGTACAATCTTCCTGGCTCCAGCCTTTCAGCCCAGTTCTGGGATTCCTGAAGACCCATCTTGGGGAAGCACAGAAGGCATTCAGTATTTCAGCCTTTCCAGCGTCACATGTAACCGTCTCCTTTTCCTTTCAGGAGATGGCCCACACTTTCACTAGCCTTCCTTTAAGCCCCAGGGTAGCTATGCTTTGCAAAGGCCAGTGGCACTGAAGTACTTCCCACCCTGCTCTTCCTTTCATCACACTTGAACTGGACCCCACATCCCTATGCACATGAAGCAAGCCGAAGTTTACACATTTTTCTTTTAGAAGGGAAAAAAAACATCTCCTATTCTCTGCAAACCAGAACAGAACTGTAAAAGGGTTTTAAGAGTCACACAAACCTCTGCTAGTTGTTCTGCACTCGCTTTGCAATCTTGTTGGAATATCCCCAAGCAGGGCACAAATAACTTCCAGGTGTTTTATTGGCTGCTTCGGAGGCACACTACTAAGCACAGTCTAGAAATCAGATCCAAGGTTATGAGTGTTTGAGCCCTCTGCTGTAATCTACACCTGCACTGCAAAGAACAGAGAGGCCCTGAGTGTCTTGTATTAGCACATGGGTTTGTTCATCTTGCAGCTCATGTCCCTGCTTCCCACTAAATGAAAAGGGGGGGGGAGGGGGAGGAGGAAGGACAGCACTGGTACTGCAGAATGGGTAAAGGCCAAGAACAGAACTTGTTACAAAGAACAAGTGGCACCTTTTTTCTTCATTCCTTGTGATTCCCTGTCTCCTAGGATACCCAATGAGATCTTTGCACGCATAGTATCACCAATCCAAATATTTTCATGTACTTCTTTAAGCCCAGCAGACACTGTTTCCATGAGCCAGGTACCCCTGAAAGGCTGTCAGTGTGCAACCAGAAGGAAGGTGAGGGAAGGTTTGGGATAAAGTTTCACACTCTGCCTTAATCTTCCAGTACACAGTGCTAGATGCAGCAGGTATTTAGTTGCTTTTTAAGCAACAGATCTGTAAGTACAGAACTCACACTTGACACTGCCATATCAGCACAGGCAGGCTGCCCCCAGGTGACTTTTTTCAGTTCCCCCTTGTACTCCCTTTCCCTGCAAATGCACTAATGAAAGGCATGGTAGGCTCGGCTGCCAGAAGAAACAGCATCAGGCAAGTCAGAAAGCAGCCTTTGCATTGCTGATCTAGATGCTTACAACTGCATTGAGCTGTTAGTTTGGAGAAGAGCATTCAGAATGTGGATGAAGGGTGGCTGCTTTGCTTCTCTTTACACTTCAACAGATCCACACAACCTACTTTTCTAATTTCTAGAGCAACCACATAAGTAGGAGATGGTTTAATGGCTGAACTATCCCTCAGCCCTTGTCTGACTGCAGACTGGGGCACCACAGCTTCTCTGGGCAGCTGTGTCAGGGTCTCACTGCCCTTTGAGGAAAGAATTTCCTCCTAACACCTAACCTAAATCTCCCATCTTTTAGTTTAAAGCCATTCCTTCTTGACCATTCAGTATCATGACAAGAAGTCAAAGACGATGCAGCTGCCTCAAACCAGAAGAGGCAGCACAAGCAAAATCCACGTGAACTCTGTCTCAGAAAACAGTGTCACTTCTAATGACTCTTCATATAGGCCCACTTTGCCCCTCAGATTAATTACTGAATGTTTTTCAAAGGCCCACTGTGTTTGGAATCTAGGTTTGCCAGTCTAGATTCCGCCACCCAGCTCTGTTGCAAATGACTCAATTTCAGAAACATTTGATAACCCTCTTGTAGCAGAGAACTACCTTAAGTGAGCTGTAAGGAGTACAGTGCTTCACTTTTAATTGAAGAAAGGGGAGTTTATGTACACATGAAACACATCCATTTATGGTAGGCTTGTTGCTGTAATTACTTCGCTTTTTGATGCACTTGTCAGTTTCACGTGAAACTCATTTGTGACAGAACCAGACCAATATAGGGCAATTAGAAGAGAGATGATGAAAAGGAAGTTCAAACAGCACAGCACTTACTTGTTCTGTTCTCACTGAAGAGGCTGCTGCTGCTCCCCTGTGAGATCCTGAAGCACGAGCTCAAGAGGCAGCTGGCTACAGGCACAGATGAAAAATGACTGAACCTATGAGAAAAGCCTCTTCTGGCTTCAGTACCCTGCTTGTGAGCAGCTTGGATGCAGCCAAGGTTGATTTAGGCCAAGAGAAGCCTCAATGTAACTTGGCTTTCTTGCCTTCCCTCCCACTCGTAGTCCTGCCTGTCTCTTGCTCTTTGAGCCAAGAGCCATCCCAGGAGCCTGTAGCACAACCTCAGGCATCTGTTACTGCCACACAATCCCGTACCAGTCCAGGACTAACCAGCAAACCCCACTTAAAACATGGGAACACAATCATGTGAATGACACAGCTGTGCCAGCAGTACTTGGCTGAGTGAGTTGGAACCACCTCCCTACTGCAAGGGGCTCAGGCTCTTCAGGAGAGCGCAGCAGGGCCTGCTGCTCCCTGGGGCTGGGTTCAGCTCATCAAACCTCAGAGGCAAAGGCAGGCACATTTCTCCCAGGCAGAAACCAGCTCACAGCTTTTGGCTGCCCGCACCTGACCCGTTTTCATGCAGAAGATCGCTTCCTGAAGTGATTACACTGTTCAAGCTCTTCCAGTATTGATAGACAGCATCATCCAACAAGCTGGAAATGTTTGTCAAATAGAGCTTTTAGCCCAAGTGGTTAGGCTACTGAAACCACAGAATTAGCACAGCACTGACTTGTTAAAAAAGGAAAGGGAAGATGACAAGCTTATCTCAGCTGAATAGCCATACACAGCAATGCCAAGGTTCCCAAATTAATGAAAAGCCAACAGTATTACAGATAAATGTATTTTAATTAGGATTAAATACTATCTCAGGGTATCTTGAAATCGCACTTGTACTGTACTAACCAACAGCCAGAGGCAATAAAAAAAGTCTGAAAACATAAAAGTTTAACATCAAGACATGACAGTAAGTGCTGCCATGTAAAGCGACCAACACCGCTTCCAAAGACAGATACTCTTTAGAGGAAAAAAGTTGTAACATTTTTGTATGGACAAAAATCTAAATCCAAGACTGGAAGAAATGTATTAGTGCCTGCCTTTTTTAAAAGTTTGGTTTTTTTGTTTTTACATTAAATACATTTCTTTCTTTAAAAGCAAAGTACTTTCTAAATTCACGGTTTATATACTGTATGTACACAAGAGCAGAACACTGTACAGTGTTTTGGATAAAGCAGCACTAACTAGCTACAAGCTGGTACGGTGTTGCTGAACCAAACGCGAGATGACAAGTTAAGCACTCTAGGAGAAGTATCTCCATGGTTGGTATGAGTAAAGTAAAATATCATGTATGTACAAAGTGATTATTCTAACAAACCCCTCAAACTCAACGCCATTTGCTGTGGAACTGTACATGCTGCAGCTAACCAATGGAAATCTTACTGCAGAAACTGATCTGACGGACCCTAAGTAACCGATTCCTTTTGGTACCAAAGTGCATTGCTGATGGAGGGAGCACTCCCACAAAATGTCATTGTAACACATCAGCACTTGGGCGCAAGGTTCCAAGGAGAGTGGGTATTTATCACATTCTCAAACAGCCACCTGCATGTTTCGGCTACGCAGAACAAGAAACGCCCTAACCAAGCCATTCAAACCATATGAGACTGAGATGAAAGCAACATTGTTAAGCTTCTGTATGTGCATCCTGGCTTTCTGCAGACAGTTACAGACTAAAGCAGAAAGTCTGCACCAAAGCACCGCCAGCTCAGATTCGAATGGACTGGCAGTGATTTCCATAATTAGTGCAATGCTAATTTCTACACTTCAAAGTGACTTACTGCTCTTCAGATGCACAACATGCTTATTCGGGTTTTACAAAAAAACAAACCAAAGAGTTGTGCAGATTTTTTTTTTTAAAGTCTACTCCATGAAAAGCCCAAACTTAAAAACAGTTGTGCCCTATTTCAAAGCCAGTTGCCTCCAAAAAATATTCTAGGGTTAAGAGCAGGGCAGAGATTAAGGTTCTACTTGTTACGTATACTTACAACTGTCCTGCAGTTTGTGTCTCCCGAAGAGGTTACCTGCTGTACTTTCAAGATGTTGATCGTCCGTGCCTAAAGCTTACACTGGTATAAAGAATTGAATGTTTCTTCTTTGATGAGGACAGACTCGAGACAACTTGTTTCTAAACTTGCATCAACTGAAATTTTAAGTTTTAATGGTGTAAAAATCTGACATTTGATTACAGTTAAGAGAAACTTGCTACACAGCAAACTGCATCCAAATCTACGGTTACTGATGGGACCTTTAAATTAACTGTTAACAAGTTATTGAAAGCATCCAGACTTGGAAACCTCAGATCACCCAGCCAGTGAACTAGTGATCCCCTCCCCCTTTTCACATGAGGCTTTAACAAATACAGCTGATGTGACCTTAAACACTGGAGCCAATGATTGCCATTGGTTAACTCCAATACCCCAAAGGGCTAGGGAGATCCTGTGTTAAGCCCAATGCAATATGCATTAGTGTCATGGAGCAGGAAGATCCCAGTGTTTACTTGTTAAAGTTCACACAAACCATACAGATACAGACAGGATAAGACAGACTCAAAAGGATCCATTATGCTTGAAGAAATTCCAAATAAAATGACATCTTCTGCACAGCCCAGCCTCAAACACAGCCATACTTATCTAGTATAATAAACTCTGTAGTAAACTGTTTTTGACCGCCATAGAGAGTAGGAGTTGTCAAATTTCAGGAGATAAACTCCTCTCCCTGGGTACTGGTGGCTGCCAGCATACACTTCTTCATGACAGTCTCGTCTGTACACAGGCACTATTTCATCTAGCTGAGGCTTGTTGGCATTCTTTTTGGCTTTTTCTTCACTGCCAGCATTTTCTGTAAGCAAAAAATAAAAACCATCAGTTAACAAGGGCGACTAACTTTTAAAATTAAGGTCTAACTCTCCCTTGTATCTGTTTGCAGCAGACAAGGCATTCTGCTTTGTTAGCTGAAGGAGCTCATACTAAGCCTGCAGCTAAAGCATGGAAAGGGAAAAGGAACAAGTATGGGTTTGTGTGCTATGCTCCTTCACTGCAGAAGTATCAGTTTAAGATACTTCTTTACCCCTTTAAGAAAAGCAAATCAGTTTACCATTGCAAAACTGCACTAGAGGAAAGGGAGGTTTGCCTTTGGTTCTGTCTAGACATTGCTTGCTTTAAAGACAAGTTTTACACTTCAATATTAAAACATTCCATATCCAACACAGTTGTACCGGTTTGCAAAAATGCTAAACTCTATTTCTGATCAAGGCATTACCTACACTGACTGCCATGGATCTTTCAACATATGTGCTGTTAACTGATCAGCTAACAGAAATATGCAGAAGATCTTCCAACATCTAAGCAAGCTGCACGACTGTTTCAGAACACTGCTTTTTTCTGATGGTATGCAGGGCTCCCCTATAGATATAGGCTGTAACCTGGGTCTTGGCCACTATAGAGCACTATAAATTGCAAACAATATATTGGAAAAAAGGACTTTCCCATCCTCAACTACTACAACCAATCAGTGATCAAGTGAGACACCTGAAGTTAGTCAGAATTTTACTTTTTATTTGAAGATGAGATGCCGGCTAGATGGAAGCCATGCACTGCAGAGCTGTAAGAACTAGGAGATGACAAGACAGAGTGGTTTTCCTGCACAGCAATCCCTGCAAGACTAGGATTTCATAAAAATAAGCATGCTTACCTTCCTCTTCATCCTCATCATCACTGGATTCGCTGACATGCACACTCACTGCAGTATTTGGGGAGTCTGTCCATTCAAAATACACCCCAAAACCAATGTCATAATTGTCTGTAGCAAACTCCCAGAAGAGGTAAGACCCCTCTTCATGAGTTGGTACTCTAACTGTAACCACTTCCCCTCGGCCCACTGTGATCACAGAGTCTGCATCCTGCCGAATTTTTTCTTTGAAGTCTTTTATCTGGGGTCGTGTCCACATTGATGGAGCAGCTATCACTGGAACAGAATCTAGAGGGGGGGGGAATAACCCAGTTAAGCTTTTGTTTCAGTTATTTACATTGAAAACTAAAGTGTGTTTGAGGTGCACTTAAGGACAATAAACATCATAGTTGCTTCCACTCAGACAGGGACTGTGGTAGTGAAGATTTCTTACTGGGATCCAATCAAGTCTTTTGAGGACTGCTGATTGTGGATGAATGTAAGAGAACAACATCCAGAAACACCAGGGGGTGATGGGAGTGCTGCTGGGAGGCTACAATTCCTGCTCCACTTCTGCAGCTTCCTAGAAGCAGTCAGAGGAAGGTGGGAGTAGCAAGAGGACAGTAGTCTGGACTGCACTCAGGACAAGCTATGCCGCAGGAAGGGCAGTAGACACAGAATAAGATTTGGCTGCCTTTTAATCCCCAAGACTACATCAACGCTCAGTTTTGGGCAACATTTGAACATATTTCTGCACAGAACAGCTTTCTGCAAGAGCTGTTACATTCCCTTCCAACACTGCTGCAACGAAGCTGTCTAAATCAAGAGTGAAAAGAGTTTTTGTATCCCATCCACACTGCTTGAAGTGCTTTCACTTCTTCCTCTCTCCCTGCTCTCAAGAACTGTTTTGCCAACATGATATGTTCTCCTTTTCAAAAAAAAAAGAAAAACCAGAAATCACACCTAGCTCTTGCACAGATTAATGAAGCTAGGTATGATCAACTGTGGTTTTTAAGACACCTGGATCCTAGTGAAGGCTTCTGTGGTTCATCTTTATCTAGCTAATCCTACCTTTTGGTCCATTCTCCAGTGCTTCTTCCAAAGCCTCTGGATCCAGCTCTTTTTCAGGGCTGTCTGTGTGTGCACTGGCTTGCCCATTAATAGATGGCATATCCCCTTGGGCAGGTACATTCATCTTGGATGCAGTAGTCAGAGGTGTCCCTGCTGCTGCTACCACTGCCTCCTGCTGTTTCTGCAAGGCTGCCTAAAATGAAAGGAATTAAATCAAGTAAAACAACAACAACAAAAACAAACCCTGAGCTGCCTCCCTTTTCCAGTAGAAGGTATAAAGGCAGTTACAGAATCTCCTCTCCTCCCCACGAGGAGGCTCAGCATGAAGGACCCGAAGCTGTACTCATTAACCAGTAAGAATGACATGTACATCACATTATGGGAAGTCTTTCCAGGCTGGTGGATACAACCAGAACAAGAAGATTCATCTTTCAAATTAATTAGGGCATGTACAATAAACTTAGGCCTAGCTACAAAAGTACTGCATTTCAGTAACCTCTGTAACATATCTTTAAAAAAAGAAAATAATTACTTAAAAAAAGAGTTCCAGCCTGAGCTAACTTAACTTCTGTAGAGAGATGTTAACTACGTAAAGTTTATTAAACCCTTGTCAATTTGTGAGTTAACATGGCAAAAGAGTTCTCCAGAAAATGTGCAAGAAGGGGAGTTAATTTGTGAGAAATAAGAGCTAGAAGGACTGTGAGTGATCTTGGAGAAGAGTTATCGAAGCTCAGAGGTGCAGCTTTTAGAACATGAATTACATATTCTAAACTAAATTCTTCAGTTAAAATTTATCATGCTATCCCCTGTGCAAAGAATTGAATAAATGAGATTATGCAAGGTAACAACCATCCTTTTGGATTCAGGCTGGATCCCTTTAGTTTCAAGGTTTATTCTGCATCCCCCCACCCTCCATGCCCCTTCCTTTCCCACCAGTTATCAATCAGATTACATGCACTTCACTGTTGGAACAGGGAAAAGGTAGAAATGACAAAATCATCCTTTAAAGAATAATAAGCATATGATTTTGATGAACGAATGGAATACAGATATTTTAAAGGGCTATGAAGACAATACAGTCAAATATTAGTTAGATTCCAGACTTGTGCAATTACAGAGATGCTATCCAGATCCACCTTCTACTACTGAAGTCCCATTTCAGTGTGAAGCGGCAACGAACTTCTCTACAAAAGTTCTGTATACAACCTTTCCAAAATTAATGCAATCAGAAGCTCATCTACAAACAGCCATGACACGGCAGTGTTTTTAAATTGCATTAACAGATTCCAAGTTGACTGAGTTATAGAAATCCAAAAGGAAAACACTCTCCAAAAGTGTTATTATGTAAGCTACCTGAATCCTCAGGAACAAGTATGTATAACTAGATAATATTAGCTCTGTTACCACTTCTTTTTCATCCTTTCCTGTAGAAGAGTTGTCCAAGTATTGATCTGAAAGAAACCTCATTGCCTGGCAGGTGTATTATTTCATAAGCTGCTGTAAAGGAAAGGATGTTGCTTTTGCCCAGGGTCTCAGAGGGCATTAGTCTTCCATACGCAGAAATCAGACAGCTATGATTGAGAGAAGGAGTGCTGAAAGCACAGAAGAAAATTGGCAGCAGTGCCTCAGACACCTCTGTCTCCAGGGAGTGGTATCAATTACAGAAGGCACTGAAGACAAGACTGATGAGACTGCAGCTTTCACTTACCACTATGACACCAAAGCATTGGTACCAAGGTGGCATTAAGCTTCAAGAGCAACTGCAGCAGGGCAGGAAGCCTCTGATTTCCCTGAACTACTTCACATTTGTTCCTTCTTTGGACAGCTCTTTGCTCAGTGCATTATCCTCTTCAATACACAAAGAACTCCACACGAAATTAGTTAATAAAATTTAAGTCTTTAGCTCAAAAACTGCAGACCTCAGGCTGACAGACACTGGCCACTTAAGATTTGGGTCCTGCTCATAGAGGTCAGACATGCCAGAATCTGAAGTCTGACTTACATCTGTTTAGGATGCTTACAAATGGACATCTCTGAACTTAAGAATAACTTCAGAGAATACAGCACATTTTACAAAGATGCAAGATTCCCCTGAAAACAGGAGTATCCTTTCAAGCCCACACACAAAACCCTGGTACTATTCCCACCTTTTGCTACCAGAAATAAGAAAAAGTGTCTTTTCACCCAGACCACCAAGCAGTCTATTGCAGACAAGCAAGCAACATGCTAGATACTGACGTCAGATGAGATGCAGGAGGGGAAGAGAAGTCAGTACTGCTAGAAGCTGACAGAGCAGCAACCTCAAACCCAGTAGCAATGCAAGGCCAGCTAAAGCCTGCTGCTCTTCAATCCTACATATGATATGTATGTGAAGAATCATTTGAACCCATCAGTTTGTTCATGCTCAGCTGCACTGGTACATATTCCCATAAAACTGGGTGTGCAATAGACACTGCAGCACAGCATTTAACACTCTGCTTTCGAGAATTGTATCTAAGTGATTAGTAAAAATTGTTTAGAATTTTCTCAACTACTGGCTGCTTCAGAAAGCTACTTGGAAAGATTAAATAAAAGAGCTTTGGTGTTTGAAAAAGCAGCAGCTTTAATTACTAGAACATTCTTTTTCCCTCCTAGCAATTAGCTTTTCAAGGAGATAAAAGTACGTAAGTTAGCATCTTCCAAAGAGCTCAGAAAAAAAATCCAAGTTTCTCAGCTGGTCCATCTTACCTGTTGCTGTGCAAGCTGAACTTGATACAATTGCTGCATGTATTGTTGATAGTGCTGCTCTTGGAGCTGTCGAATGAGGATCTGCTGCTGTTCATAGTTGCCGGGATACTGCTGAGCAGCATACTGCTGGAACTGCATGGCAGTCTGGGAGTTCAGTGCTGCCATGATCTGTTGCCTACATTAGAGGGAGAAGAGCATGAAGATTACAAGCAGCTGGGGTTACTGGAGAAATCCCTGTACTTAAGTGACATTTAATTTCTGCAAAAATAACAAAAGAAACAAAATAAAAAAACCACACCAAAAAAGCCAACAAAAAACCCAAACAAGCCTGCATAACAGAACAGAGCCTAAAGGTATATGCAAATGTGAATTTCATCTACCTCATGTTTTGAAAACATCAGGTGTTAAAAAAAAGTATATCAAAAGCTGTGAGACAGTTCTCAATCTACAATCCAGGAAAGAGGCAGTGATATAAACACATTACAGTATTTCTCAAACAGACAAGGGAAAAAAAATCATGTCTGGGTCCTTCAGAAAACATGCAGAAACTATCCCAGCAGCCCTTCTGCAGCTACTAACAGGAACAAGCCTGCTGTGGTGCTGCACGCCAAAGCTTTTTGTTAAGTCTAAACCCACTGTGTTATTACCTTAATTTCCCAGGATAGCATGCAACCATAGGAAAAGCATGACTGATTGTGGCCTAATTCACAAACAAAAAACTGCAAAACAGGGCAACTGCATTTCCAACAGACAGAAACACAGAAGCTTCAGGAGGAATGTACTGGTTCATCAAGCACAGGCTCCATTCTCCTTCCCTCTTCAAAAGGCCAACAGAAACCATACAGTAAAAACACCTACAGTGACCTAGCATTCTTTTTTTTTTAAAAAAAAAAACTTGTGTTACATTCATTAGTGATGAGCTACTGATATTTTAGAGTATTCAAGAATCACACAAAAGGAAGAGTAGTTCTTTCTCACCCTTCTTCCTTCCCCTCCTCTAACAAGCTTCAAGATTAAACTGCTTTTTATTTTAACGGGCAAGATTCACCATCTTTCAGCAAACTGTGACCACTTTGGATATGCTTGGCATCTATATAACTCACCACATTCCTTTTCTGTCCAAACTCTTCATCTCTGTAACCTCCTATAACCCCTGACACACAATTACTATTTCTATAAAATCTTTTTCTTCTGCTTCTTCATCACACCTCCTTACCACTCACCACATCCTCTGCTCATTTACATCTGCGTATTTCATGCTCTCACCATATTAAAGAGACCAACTAAAACTTGTGAATTATTTGCTCCCTCTCCAAAACTACTACACAGATCTACTTCAGAGATACCAAACAAAAAGGCATTACTATTAAAGAAAATTACTGCTGAGAGATGTATGATACTATTCCTATACAACGCGTGCAATGCTGGATCCATGTTTTCAGCATATGGATATAGAACAGTGAAATAGAACGTACAGTTCTAGTTCTATGTAAGCTACCGAATGGGGGTGCAAACAGGTTAAAGTCCATTTGAACACGAATTCTGAGCTCCTCTGAGAAATGTGCTAAGATCCGGAGATTGCCAGCACACAGCTGAGATCTGCAAACACTTCACAACTTCTAGAAAAAGAACGCCTTCAAGGAGGTAGCTTTAGACTTCCAAGTTAGAAAACCTCAACCATGCATTTAAAAAAAAAATAAAACACCACAACAAAGTACAGTTACCCTTTTTTAAGGCACTGTCCTCTATGAAAGGATAGAAACTTCCAATCAACAATTTAAATAGTTCAGTCGAGTGCAGCACAACCCTTTTAAGAAGCAGAGCCACAAGTTTTGATGGGGTGCAGCCCTTGGAGTCACAATCCCCAAACAGAGATTCTCTTCAAACAAGATTTCTCTAGTAATTTTAGCTGAGAAGGCCGCACACAACAGCATATTGGGATACTCATTCTCTGCAAACCATCTCTCTCTTAACTCTCTCTCTTGACTGCAAATGTCACTGTCAGACTAGAGTGCTCTCATTTCAGATATTCAGTTCTAGCAGAACTATTTAAACAGCTAGACAATTGTCTCAAGTGCAAGACAGTTACTTCTTCCCAATGTCAGTTCTTTCAGCTACTCACTTTTGCTGTTCCATCCGAAGCCGCTCCTCCTCTATTCTTCTCCTCTCCTCTTCTTCCCTTCTCAGCCTCTCTTCCTCCTCTCGCCTGCGTTTTTCTTCTTCTTTCTGTAACCGCTCAAGTTCCTCTTCTTCACGGCGCCTTCGTTCTTCCTCCTCTCTTCTGCAACATCCACTCAATAAGCTATTGCAGCATTTCTACAACCCTAGGATAAGTTATTTTCAACAAGCTGTAACCTGCCTTTTTGTCTACCTAAGGAATCTTTTCATTTGGCATCATCTCTTCCCACTTCAACCTGGAGAAATATCTTATTACACACCAGAAGAAAACCTATCACTTGGTGTTACTGCGCTTTGCAGTACGACAGACGTAAACACTGTATTTTAATTCAACACTCATTCTGACCTATAATACTTGTAGCAGAGAATGGTGGAAAAAAGTATTTGAGGCTTCTTGATACACCTTCCATGCCTTAATATATGTTTAATAATCATAGACACTACTGTTTATGAATCACATTATGTTTAAAGGATGCAGAATAGCCTTTATCAAGTCACTAACCCTTACTAAAAAAGGAATTTCAAGTATCTGACAACTTTGTGTTTTATACAGCTTTAGTAAACTAAGCTATGAGGGCAGATATCTTGTGAATTGCATCTCTCTTAAAAAGATGACAGTATGAGCCACATTTTTAAAGACCCCTGCATTCTAGGTATATGCACCTCAGAAACGACCGTCCATTACAAGTTAAGTAAAAAGCTTTAAAGAGAGCAAGTGGTACCACAGCTATCTGAACTTCAAGCCTCTCTCCTCCAAAGTTACTTTGTCAACTTAAGCTATCCGTGACACTGCCCATAGATCGAGAATTACATATTCAATATACTGAGATATCAAACATTACCTTTTCTTTTCTTGTTCTTCTTTTTCTATCTTGTGAGAAGTAACATACGTTGAGAACAAGTGGCAGCACCTATTTAGGAGCTTAACAAACTCTGTCATAGCTTCTTGCTTCGACATGTTTCCAAGGGCAGCCCATTCCTTCCTAAGAGAGAGAAGACGACTCAACTCTTTGCAAGCCAGTAGGGAGCTCAGAAAACCCAGAAAAGGAATAACAGTTGGGGGACAAGCAACCAAATGCCAGCATGCAGCAGTTCAGAGAAAACCTGACCCATTCAAAGACAGAACTTAAACCCGTAGATTTCAGTGTTCTCTTCTACCAAGTAGCCAATTCATGCAAGAGCACCAAGCACTTATATGAAATTTTATACATACCGTGAAGCCTACTTAGAACTCTAAACTGTGTCCAAAAACCTCCCAAATACAAATCAGTCAGCAAATTAACTTGTATTATTACTTGTTTAATCATTCTTCCACTCCAGTTTGAGAGGAAAAAAAAATGCATATGTTCTCCCAGATGAACAAATGCAGTACCTAACCTAATCAAATCAAATGCAACAGCTTGGTTCTTCCTAAAAAATCCATTTGAGCAGAAACAGTACACTGGGTACAGCTTTGGGAAGCAAAGAGCAACACAGCACTGACCTTCATAACTAGAAATAGCAACAGTCAACAAGAGAACTGCAAGCAACAGAGATCATCCTGATCTCATCAAAATCTACTCAGGGTCTGACTGCAACAGACAGATGATTTCAGAGGTTCTCCTTAATCTACTAACAGGAAGGCTCTGCCAAGTGCTGTTAGCACTGGTAAGGGACTTGGTCTGTTGCAACTCCAATGTAAAATTAGGAGAAAGATGCTTAGAGCCTGCATGTTAACCAAGTCTTTAAACTGCTATAAAAAAACTGGGCTGTTGGCAGAGCAGCTTCTCCTAATGCAGTTAAAAAAACACTCAATAATTGCCTCATGGCTCCTTTACTGAATTGTGACTCAGATTTCAGTGATGTTTTTGAAGAGGCTGCTCTCACTTTCTACTACCACACACACCCATACTGAGGCAATCCATGTACTTTTCTTACTGTTGAAATTGGATGGCATTTACTTCAGACAGGAAAAACAGAGTTAAGATCAACAAAGGCCTTTACCTTCTATCATTCCCCAGCACATCAAAGAACCCAACTTCAGGGCAAGTATCAGGGTTATAAGGTCCCAGCAGAACCTGCTTGTGCAGTGCCACAAGTCGGAGTTTTTCTTCATATGTTGGATGAAAGGCTTTGCCATCTTTTTCTGTAGAGGAAAAGAACATTTCACTGTTATGATTATTAACTGGTTAAGCATAGGACAGCAAAGAGTATTTCATATAACCACAATCTCCTCTCTGAAAAAGAAGAGAGGACACCAAAAGTTAAGTCACAAACTAAATCAGCTCTATTCAAATAAAACTGTTCGTCCAGAAGAAACACACCTAACTTCAGCTGAGCTGCCGAGAGGAAAATAGGATTAAGGGAAATTTTTCCCAGAGGCAACTGGATGGCTGCACATTGCCATGGCTGCTGGAATAAGTCCTCACAATGAGAAATCTTAGAGGTGACTCAATCGGCATCAGGGCCTACAGAGAGTTCTGGCCTTCAGAACTCAATCGGAATTCCAGGAGTTCCATACTACCACCTTCTAAAGCAAACCTGGTTAGATGCCATCACACATTCCCTATTGAGGAAAACATGCTCTGATTTAAAGCATTTGAATTTCTCAGCTAGGACTTACCTCAGCCCATTTACCAAACTGTCGAAACAGATCTAAGAAACAGGCATCACTATATGCAATCATGCTGCTTGTTTAAAAAAAAAAAGACATTTCCTCGAACAGAAAAACAAGCAAATAAGCATCACCTCTTTCTGAAAGGACTGAAATGAGGAAGCTGCTATCAGAGGAACACAACAGACATTTCTCATGGCTGTACCAACTGCTTTCCATTCAGTTGTGAATCAGAGCAGCAGCCCCCAGCTCTCCTTTATCATGAAGGTCACTCCGGAGCAAGTTGTTCAGAGCCCCAAATTGGACACTGCAATTCATACTCAGACTTCAGAGCTGACACAAATTGCAGAATTGCTCAGCTTCTGGTTGTAAACAGAGTTATTACTGGGAAATCAGAACAGAAGTGGGGGGGGATCTCCCTTGAGTCCTGCTGAGAATTTCTGAGCAAGTATTTCTGAAAGCTGAGAACTGGAGACAACCCCACAGGGAAAGTGTTTGCAGGGCACAGTGAGAAGTGGTGTTTTTGATACATTAAGTCTGGTATATCACAGGACTTACTCGGTCAAAAACTAACAAGGAATGACTGCACGCATGCATTAGTGTTTAAGCTAGGATGATGTTAGGAAGGTAAACACTCAATCTCTTATTATCCACTCCTAGAAGCCCATTTCACTCTTTCAGAACCTCAAGTACTTGCACTTTGCCCAGCATCACATAGCCTTACAGCAAATAGCTATTTCAGCTTCAAAAGACCAGAAGCCTTGACAAGTTCCAGGGGTCTCTTCCCACCCCTGCCATCCTTCAAAGATGCAAACCACCACATCCTGCAACTTTACCTGAGGATATGGCACTTTTGGGAACAAAGCCAGCACAGGTGAAAACTGTCTCCCTAGATCTCAGATCTTGCTCTTCAGCCTACCCTGAAGAGTGCTTCAGCTTTTCCCTCACTTCTTCCTACTTCAGAATTAACTCAGAACTTATTAGCTAGCAAGTATTTCCTTTAATCTTGATAAATAGCAAGCACTCTGAAAGCACACTTCATATCCTGGGGCAGCATGCTTAACACCAAACCGCTTCATAAAGCAACTCATCTGAAGTTCTGCTGGGCTTCTGTGGCCACCACAGCACCACTGAATTTGTGCAAGCTGTGTGCACACAGATGTCTGTCTGCCAGGAAGCACTGTTACCTGCTCTGCAGGGTGCTGCCTCAGCCACCTAACATAAGGGTTTGGGCTCACTTTTGAACAGGGTTAAAGCCAAAAAAAAAGACCATTTCACTCTACAGCTAAGGGCAGCACGTCTACATTTTCACAGAAGTCAGACCTCAAGGCTTAACTAACAAGGGAAATTCTGCACGTACAGAGAGTGGTGACCCAAGGGAAGAAGAAAAGCAAGCTAAACAAGAGAGGACAAAAATAAGAGACAGATATTCAGTGACTTGGAGATAATGCAGATCAGAAGCAAGCTCTAAGCGAAGCATTTGGGGTCAGCCAAGGGAATGAAGTCACATCCTAGTCATTTTTTCAGTTGAATTCTTCAGCAGGAACCACACTGTACAATTACCCCAAAGACTTGGATGTGTTGAGAGTTAAAATGAACCAGAGGAGCTGGAGCCATCTGCAGAGCTAAATATGCCAAAAGAGAGCCTTAGTCAGCCCAGATAAGCAGAAGTGCCACATCCACCAATCAAGTAGGTATCACCCTCGTACCCTATACAGCCAATAAGAAGCTGAAGAATAACACACAGCTTCAAGAAATCCACATGATTTGCAAAGGAATAGTACAGCAACTGTACAACTTTCTGCATGCCACTGGTACTCCTGCTGCTACAAGGCCAGAGAAAGGCTCAGCTTTCCTACAGACGGTTCAGAGTCCTTACTGACAATATCTCAAACTGTCACTCACAGAAAAGGCAATGCTCATCACCTGAACGTCATACTAACAACAGCCACAAAGAGATCAGACAAGCCTAAGTAGTAATTAAGGTACGCTTGTAAGAACAAGGCTTTCGGCATGCTGCAGTAATGGCCCATATATACTTCACTTGTAACATGAAGCAGTTTAACCAAAACGCTGCAAGGACCAGCTCCCACCTACTGCAAGCTCAGACCTCAGGGATGCATGCCATGAAGACAAAGCACTGTGTTCCTGTACCGTCAGGCCAGACAGGAAGGTCCCTGCACCTAGCATCAGCTATTCAGGCCAGAGCCTTCCTGACAGTGACTCTTTGTCCAGATGCCTACCAAACAGAGATTCCTCAGCAGGGACTCAGCATACAAACACAAAAAGATGAAGCCAGTCCAATAGTGAGTAATGAAAAGCAGATAATGGGAACGGATGTCACTATGTGGCACTGCACTATTGGCATCACCACAAATTCAGGCTCCAGGGAGTTTAACAAATATGCTTCAATGTGTTCAATGTGCTGTTACTCCTCTGTAACAGGGAAGAAGTATATATCAAGTAAGATACACTGAACAACTCACTGCAACTTCTGCTCCAGCTCATCTACTGCACTCCCTCTAAATGTCCAATTCCCACAGGATGGCATTCAGTCCCAGCTGTCTACAAGGAGCCAGAAAACAGTTCCAAGTGTGATTTGTTGCTTCACAGCTTTTAAAAACAGGTATCACAGATATTAATGCTGCTCATTCACAGAGCTTTGATGAGTGAGACCAAGACTAAGAAACATGAGAGGTGAATCTCTGCCTGCAGACCCCACTGAGTGTTCTCTTACACTCAGTTCTTTCCTCCTGAAGATGTTCTGCATCAATAGAAGGGTAATCAACCAGCACCAGCCCTTCCTGTCAAATCTGATCGAAGCTTAACTTAGTAACAAATGCAGATACATTATAGGGTTTTTCCATATTCTTTAAAGTAAGCATCTCTGTAACTAATGAACTACAATTGTGCCAACAAATTAGAACACAAAAAACAAGGTCAAACAATTCACTTTGGATGATATACTGCTGAGGACGAAGTTGCATTCTTGTTAGGATAAGAGGAAATAACTTGGAGCAGTCAAACAACATTAGAATACTTAAGATAGCAGGAGAGGTTTCAGATAACAGAATGATACAGTTTGTACACTGCCCACCCAGACATAAGGCACCACAAACCACTGCAGGCAGCATATGAACACTCCAGGGGGTATGATGGTATTTCAAACACATGATATGGAAAACTGTACAGCTAGGCTGATCCTGGAAGAGATTTGCTGGCACAGCTAGCAGGCTGCCCCCTCCGACTGCAGGACACAGCCTACACCTTCACCAAGCCATCTCCACCAATAGAGCTTGTACCAGTTCCACAAGCAAAATTAGCTGTCAAAGGCACTTCTGTCAGCTGCCTCTGTCTTTCTCAGAGCTGGAATAAAGCAGCTTTGAAGGCTCTTTAATACTGCAGCTCAGCTTCCGTTGTGCTTTTCACATTGTGTTTACACACACTCCCACCTTGTCCCGTCTCCGAGCAGTTCTGCAAGATACCACATCAGACAAGCATCAGCAGTCACCATAATATGTCTGAAGTATTTTGTTCCAAATCAACTTTCCAGGAAGAGCATGCATTATGAATGCATTATGAGCAGAGAGCTCAGTTTACACACTGATACAGAAAAGCAGCTGCTGAACTGGTGATCACTGCTTACCCTTCAACATCCAGTGGCTTCTTGAGCCTCCCTGCCCCAGCTCCCTCCACACTAACAGCAGCACTTCATGCAAATACAAAAAATCTCCTCAAGTGCCACTCTTAACTAATAGCTTATGTTTTTCTGTTTGCTTCATGAAAGTGGCACGGGCTGTTAATATCATACATAAAAGCTCTGATATCAACCAGCATTAAGAAGACCAAGCCTGTCAAACATCACCACACTTCTGGACCAGTACAGTCTTAAGAATAACTATCAGAAATGAGACCTCAGCACTAATGCATGTTGACAAGCATCAACCTTCAGATCCCCAAGATGTTACTCCTTTAAGTAAAGTAGGAATCCGTATGTGTCTTTCAGCATTCACATGGCTGCCCACTTCCACAGTTGTTTTCACAGTGGATAAATCAAAACAATTTGGAAACAAGACAACTTACTTGTAGTGCCATGCAGATGTAGAACAAGCTAGATGAATTGGTCATCTGAGTACTGAACCTCACTGGCATATCTACAAATAGGAATCCTTGTCTTATATCACTTTCATCAAGAAACTACATATGAAGATATGTGCAACCCCTTCACATGACTTATAGTAGTCATAAGGATAGAAGAGCAAGGCTTTTGTTGGAAAGTCTGACATCTTCACGTAACGTGGAAAGTTTTCCTGTTATGATAAGAATTGTGTATTACAACAGATAATGTACAGCTAAAGAGCAGCAGCAAACTGCAACTGAGCCTTCAGTAGGAAGAAAACAACAAAAAAGAGACAAAAACAGATACACCGCAGTATCTGTAATTTAGATACAAGTAACACTTCACTGACTTCTCACCCTTCAAAAGGAGATGAATATAAAGTGTAATTATCATTAAAGGATGAGAAGTAATAGAAGTACACCACACGCTATGACTGTGTTGTTTCATTTTTACACTATCAATGCTTGTTTCAGCAGCACATTAAACCAAAGACATAATGAGATGACAGTTGGCTGAGATAAGGAATTTCCTACTGAGAGATGTTTCTTTCTGCACTGTGACTTAAAAAAAAAAATAGTCATTAGGAAACGAGCTCCCTCAAGCTTCTTGTTTTACAGAGAGCGGCAAGTCGGGAGTTGCAGTGCCTCCAGCCCAACACATGGCTGCAGCAGCTTCTGGCACAGAAGATCCAGACCCTTATGGTTCATAGAGAAGTACAACTTCAAAAAACAAACAAAGAAGCAAACATAGAAACTATGCCAGAATTGAACTTAAAGGAAAAAAAAAATAAAAAGGATGACTGGCAAAAGTGCATCAGTAGATGGCCAGGGCACAAGAACACTGCTTACACCTTCACACGCTCCTAACAAGCGAGCCAAGCACAGTAAGGAAAGCAGGCAGTGACCGTCCCTCGGGCGTGCTTCCCACCTGTGGTGCACTCAGCTCTGAAGGGGCAGCTCTCCCGGTGCCACCAAACAGCGAAGAACCACCAGCCTACCACAGCACAGCGTCACATCCCTAACGCAGGCACGGTGCCGCTGCGCCCTTAGAGAAGCTGCTGCAGACTCCGACAGTGCTGCACGAGGTAAGGCTACAACAGACGCATCTCCTCCTCGCAGCACGCACGGCTGATGCGGTGCCGAAGGAGCGGAGCGCTGCGGCACCTCCCGCTTCCTGCAGCCGCACCTGGCGGGAGATCCCGGCGCACAGCTCTGCCCACGCAGCCGTGCCAGCGCTCCTTCCCCACAGCCACGGCGGCACAAGGCGCAGCCGCGACGAGAGTCAAAGCAAACGCTCCTTTTCCACGGCTTTTCCCAAAAGGGAGGATGATTTTTTTTTTTTTTTTTGCCCCGTTTTCAGGCCGGGTGCTGCGCAGTCCCCCGCCCCCCGACAGCCCCAAAGGAATTACCCTTGAAGAAGCGCAGCGCCAGGCCGTACAGCTCCTCCAGCGCGAAGCCCCAGCGCCGCTCCGGGCTCAGCGCCGCCGCCGCCGCCTCCTCCCCGCCGGCCTCCGCCTGGCTCGGGCAGCCGGGGCCCGTTCGGTTCCGCCCCGCAGCCGAATCCCCGTGGCCGGGCCGCGCTTCGCAGGGCGGCGCCTCGGCGTTGGGACTGAGCGTCAGCCCGTCCACCGACACCTCCAACCGCTCCGCGCTCAGAGCCGCCGCCATCCTCCGGCTCCGCTGCGGCGGCCACGTCCCGACTTCCCGTTCCCTCCGACCCGGAACTTCCGGTCCCGCCCCGCCAGGGACGGCCGCAGGCCACGCCCCCTGCCGGACGGCCGCTGTAAGCCCCGCCCACTCGCGGCCGGCGGCGTCGCGGAGCGCGGGATTCGGCGGCGGCTGGCGGGCAGCGGGAGGGCGGCTCCGGGCTTCTCCCGCTCTCCCCTCGGGAACCGCGGCTCGGAGCCGGCACGAGAAGTGTGCCAGGCCGTCACGTCTCCGGAGCCGTAGCTGCAGTGAGCTGGTGACCGCCAGGCAGTGTTCGCGGTAACGCACTGACACGTCCGTCCCCAGCGCTGCCCAGGAGCTGCCCTTCCCTTCGGCGCGCCTCCGCGTCTGCTCGCTGATCTCTCGGCAGAGCTGATTATTAGGTCACGCTTACAGCGTGCTTTGAAGCCTTCGGATGAAAGGCAGAAGAGATGTGAAAGCTGTATTTAAAGCACTTCATTTCCAGTCAGTATTTCTTGAAAGCGCCCGTGTCACTCGCGGCCCCGTTCAGTACGAACGTGCCCGGATAGAGGCAGAGTCTGGCTCAGATGATGGTTAACCCCAGCTTCAAAAGACACTTCACAGCCGCTTGGAAATCCTTTGTAGCTTCTTCACGCGCTTCTGTTTGTTTTGGTTTTGGCTGAGGATCACAAACATCACGCTGCTCTTTCCTTTTCCCAAGACTACAGAACAAGGGTGCATCGTCCCCTTCGGAGCGTTTTGCTTCCTAGGGCACGCAGCTCCGTCTGTCTGGCACCATCTCATGCACGGAGATAAGGGCAGCACAGATAACGCTATCTTCCTCCTGCACGCCCGCACCCTGCTTTGCAAGCAGCATTTCAGCATCAGATCTGGCTTTGCATCAAGATTTGTTAGTTCATCTACAAGATTACTTTCAATCTATTCTCACAGTTTTCATCTGGCACGTTTCCTGCTTGGTTTGCAGAGGCCATCCTTCATAGATACATACATATATGTACATATATTTGCATTAATTCTGCGGTTTAATACATAGCGAGCTTAATATTAAACTTCTCCCTTTCAGAAATGTTGAGCTCTTTATCCTAAAATACATCTTAAAGAAACCGACATTTTGATCCCTATGGGGTTTGCTATGTTTCTCCCAAATGAAAGGAAATATTTTCATTTTATATACCAGCAAACCCACAGATGTTTCTGCTTCATGGCAGAAGCCGCCTGCAATCAGCCCTTCGTTTCCCCACATGTCTGGAGGCCAAGCTAAATGCAAGATGCTCCGTGAGCATCCTGTTTGACAAGCTGATTTGGAGAATGATGACAGAAAATTGATTTGTCTCATAACAGGATCTCTTCTGCAGCAAATGTTTGACACTTCTAGTAAACGTGTGACTATTCATCTCTTCTTGTGCCAGCCCTGCTGTGCCAGCCCTGCTATGCCCTACAACAGGCGTGCCAGCAGAGCGGGTTTCTCCACAACATGCAGTGTAGTTAGCTGGAGAAGTCCCAGCTGGAGGGCAAGACATCTGCCAGTGTAGCATCCAGCTGAGGCATGGCTATGGCCAGCATGCTCTGCTGCAGCTCTGCAGCCTGGTGTGCGGCTGTTCAGAGCCAGCAGGCTCAGCAGATTTACCCTCAGTGCCTCTCTGCACAGCTATCTGGTAAGCATGGAATTGGCCCACTGCACCCACTCTCCTCTGCTCCATGCTGCTTTGGAGTCCTGTTTATAAAGACAGATATGGTGTCAGGACAGAATACTAGGAAAAAAAAAAATGGCAGGTTCAGATTTTGAGTCTGGAAATCCTGGTCTGGAATAATATAATAAAAAATGAAGAAATATTTTTTCAGGAGAAAATTTTGAATTTGCAGTGATGCTGTGGTGGCTGTTTGAGATAGAGTAAAATATAAGATGTGCTTATCTGGCTAAAAACAAAACAAATCTACCTGGAGCTGCATGTTGTCCAGGTATCCCCAGGGCATGGAATACCCCTCCCTGCTCCCACAGGTCTGGCTGTTCCCTGGCACACAGCTGGTGTGACTGCCACATCAGACTTCTAACACCTTCAACAAATTGCTCGTGAGTCCTGTAAATGAGGGAGATTTTATTGAATGGCTATGACAAAGAGTTCCCAATAATATATATCCTTGAGAAAACCACTCATGGATAAGAGGAAGATGCTAAGTTGATCCAGTAAATTACTTATTTCTTGTAACAGCTGGTTACATGTGGCAAAGAGAGACTACATTCAAGCCCCAGAGAGGCAATTTAGTCCAGCAACAGTGGCCTCCACTAGGAAACACAGTCCTAGAAACTTCACGTAGAATAAATCAATTATTTAATTCAAGCTGGTGAATGTTTAACAGTGAAAAATACCAGCCATCTGCAAGTGCACAGTGAACCATTAAAAAGTTATGGAACACCAGAATGTCTTAAACAAACCATTCTGCTTTTCCTGGTACCCTTCCTCCCACAGCAGGTGAAACACATGTGCTCTCAGCTGCAGGGGCTGTGCCTTCAGGTGCCCCCTGGTGCAGGGCAACAAGCACGTGCTGTTTGCCAGAGGAAGGGCTGCTAAATATTTGATTATCTCAAATGAGCATCTCTGAGCAGCTAGGTTTGCCACTGTGGTATGGGCTCATCTGCTGTGAAAATAGGGTTAGCGGCTTTGCAGGAATGGCTACATTGAATAAAACAGATATGAACACTGTTGCTAGGCCTACTGTTGTCATACCAGCCCAGAGCTCCCGTAGCTCAGGACTGCACCTTTTGGCTTATACTGGGGAATGAGGAAAGTGGACAGCCTGGTTGGTAGAGAGGGCTCTGTGCACCTTTGGGAAGGTGCTCAGATTAATGGAAGGAGCTACAGTGCATCTGCCAGTATTTCCTACTTCAGTGATCACTCAACCTCTTCCATCACCAAGCTGCTTTTCATAGGGGCTTCTAGCTTTTCCTGGAGAAGAGAAGCCCAGTGTAACCCTACTGCAAGTGCACGAACCAATGGATCTTCTCAGGAACTCCTAAGATGTTCCAAACACATTTAACTCAAAGATTACACTTCAGGCATTCATATATGCACAGTAAATTGGTTTTGGACATACTGGGATCAGCAGAGCTGGCACAATAACATGTAATGGCACCAGAGGACTAATTGAGTGAAAATCCTAGTGAGTCATTTCAATCTGTCCTTTCTCATTAGTTCTTGTTTGTTCAAATGTTGAATAAAGTCTATGGAGAAAAATAAGCCCACTCAAGGTTTTATGCTTCTACTTTTCAGCACTCTGTTTCTTCAAGACCTCCACCACAATCAAGTCCAGATTTCAGTTTCAGTTTTTCTAAGAAATAATGAAATCAGCAGGAAGTAAGAGAAAGAAAAAAAAAATATGGAAGTTATTTACTAGAAACCAGTGGATTGTTTCTGTTGATGCCTGAAAATAACCATAGTACTGTTCTGTTTTTTCTTCCAGAGGTCTCCTCTAAAGCGCAGTGTAATCTCGCCTTGCACACAAGAACAAACACTGCTGTGTGTTTCACATCCCGTTGGACAACTGAATGACTGCAGTACAGCTGCAACCTTTAAAACACATTGGATCCCTTCTGGGACCTCTACACGGCAGGGTGCACAATACCTGTCTTTACTTCAAAGGTAACACAGTTCACTGTGCTGCTTGCTGCCTTGTATGTATACAGTAATTTATGGTGACATTCACGCTGACTTCTTTAAATTATGACATGAGCTACGGGATAACAGTTAATCAGATGCGGAGTCTGGCAATACCTTTTTCACAGTGTCAGCAAACACTGCTGAAAAACAGCTTTATTGACAGAGTGCTAGAGAGACTCATAAGGAAAAATACACATGTGAAAGGCTATCTTCCCATTATACTCTCATTTTGACAGAGAGCAAATGTTCCTTAGGATGGATGCAGTTATAACAGATACAGATGATCATAAAAGAACAATTCCTTTATGATCATCTGGTACAATAAAATAATTATACCAGTTTAATATATCTTATGCTGATGCAATTGCATCTGCAACAGTACAGCTCTGTAACCAATCATGCTCTCCACAGGCACATGAGCTGAGAGCAGAACAGCACTGTTATCAAGAAGTTCTTGCTAAGCAAGATATGGTTGGGAATTTAAGCACTTCCTGAATTTAACCAACTCCTCTAATAAACTGATTTTACAGAAGAGAGGACATGGAAATCAGTGCAATTAGTGATTGCATTGTTGGCTCTCTGCCCAGAGAAAAACTGAATCAACCAGAACAATGACTTACATTCACGTAAGGTCGGAGCACCTTTTGGTGCTCTTTTGTAACACCTCCAGAAGGGCACTGCCCTCTGGTTCAGGGTCTAAAACCCATAGCATGTGTTCCCAAGGGGCCCTGCAGGGCCAGCATGACCCTGCCTTGAGTTCTGCTGATGTTTCAGGATCATCCTCCTCCATGCTTTGCTGCTATACAGCTGCTTCCCTCCTGTATTTTTTCCTTTTGACTTGATTTTTAAATTAGCCATATCTGCCTTTGGGTTTTCCAGGCACCCAATAGCACAGGGACTAATAGGCAGAAAGGTGCTCTCTTTTCAAAACCGTTTGCTGAGCCTCCTGCCTGTGTTCTGGGAAGAGCAGAGCTGTGCATGCACTAAGGGGTGCTATTCAAGTTGCTCCCTTCCATCCAGCAACCAGACAGGTAATATACCTTTCAAAAGCGTACATTAACTCTGTCCTTCTTCACCTAATGATGAGGTGAACGCTTTTCAATGGACAGTGTGCAGCTGGCTCCCATTTGCTCAACTGTGTATCTCTTTTTTTTATGCTGTTTATTTTCCTCCTTTGGGTTGAATTGAAAATGAGCTGTTGTGAAATGGCTGCTGTCAGAATGAGCCACCCTGGCCTCCTCCCAGTCACAGACACCACACAAGCTCATCAGCATCCTTGTGCCAGGACTTACACTCATCCCACCTCCCTCCTTCACCTAACTAAGCAGGCAGAATACTGTCTGTTTCTCAGGTGCTGGGTTAGTTTGCTGCTGACTTAGA